CTATGATTTTTTTCCGTATACATATCATGTTTTTAACCACCATAGAACAAGTAGCAACTAAGAAACCTACTACAAGAGATGGTGTTATCATCAACCAAAGCTATGTATGAAGTGGCAATATTTAGCTTCAAATGGTCTTTCCAAAACATGCTTAAAGGACAAATCCAATGTACAAGACTTCCACCAATGCAAGATCCAGGGAGGACAAAGAGGTCCAGGAAGGACCAATGTACATAGCCTTAGACTCAAAATTTGGTCTCTCAAGATGCAAAGAATCAACCTGGTTTCCAAGACAAGCTTGCTAACTAGAAAACCTATCTGAAATACACTGATATCATAAGCAATTCATCCTAATATTTAACTGCAATCCAATTCCATTAGTCATGTAACAGGTGGTGTGAACTCATATTCAACTTGGCCATTTGATTTTAGTGGAGTTCAAAGCAGGTTGAGGGAACCCAACCAACCGTTGAATTGGCCAATCAGCGCAACCTCCCATTCTAATATGCAATCGATGGTTCAATGCAATACAGTCCCTACAACCACTAGTTCACTATCAGCAGAAAAAGAGAAATTTTATTAAGTGATTAGGCAGATAAAAATATCTGAAAAATGACAATGACTTGACGAAAACAGCTAGTGGTAATGGTCAGCTGCCTCACATGTTCACTAAAGCCAATAGTAAATTTAGGACTTGTCATTTTAATACAGTTACCATGTTCAATAGCATCATCTTATAATGATACTAACAATATAATGAACTACATGTTCAATCATCTAACCAAACTTGTCCTGCAATGATATGGCAACACCAAAACCAAGACTCTCTAGTGTGTATCTAAAGGTAGAAGAATTTCTGAAAATGTTACCACTCGACCATTCAAACCTCAGAGATAAAAGTTTCCAATGATGACACCAAATATTTTCGTAAGCAGCACTTACAAAAGAGCTCGATCCTCCCGTACGCTGTTGTCAACTTCGATAATCTTGGAACCAACCAAGAGTTGCATCACCAATCCAGAAGTCACAATTGGAGTTATTCCAAGCTCCATGACAGTTCCACGATTAGATGCAAGAATTACTCGCATCCAGTAAAAAGGATCGGCTCCGGTGGTTGAATGTATGCCATAAAGTGGAAGCTGACTGCAAACCAGAAAAATAAAGAGAGCAATAACTGTATAGATGACCTTTTCTCTGAATGGAATTTTTCGATCAGCACTTTGAACCTCAGGCAAGAAAGCCAAAAATGGTCTAACAAGATGAAGCACTCTAAATCCTCCAGCCATTCTCTTGCAGCCTGACAACAACAAATAATGACAGAATTACAGAATGAACAAATACAAGCTAGTGGAGCCAACCCTATTGCTTTATCAACTACATAATCAAGAATCAAGGATAGAGATAAGAAATATGCTGAATGAAATATGGAAACATTGGCAAATGCCACATATATCCCTTATACGAGAAACTGATGTATGACCATATAAACCAGGACATAGTTCACCTCTGCAGACCAATAATTTAAGTGAGAAGAAATACAAGTTAACTAAATCATCTCACAATAAAGACTAAAGCAAATTACAAGATCAACACATGTATTCTTAATTTAATTACTGAATTATGCTCATTGAGTCCATTTGCAGCTGCAACTTTAATGCCCATTCTCTTTCAGCATGCATACAATATATGAACAAAATATTTAAGAAAATGCTTCAAATGCACCAAACGTATAGCAGAACCATTTGGCTGAGATGTAAGATGAAATCTACAGTAATACTTTCAATTTCAACACCATGTCACTAACAATTTTATTTCATGGTGCAACCAACTTTTAATGTCAACAATAATGTATTTATCTAGGATTCATCCGGCTAATTTGGCCATCCAAAGTTTATCAAAAATAAAAATGTCTTTTAGAACACATCTTACTGCACCTCTAATCATTAATACTTGCATAATAAATAAACATGAGTAGTGAGTACCTAGGCATGCAATAGGAGATGAGTAGAGAGTAAACATATTAAGCATATAAGACGCAGCAGATAAAAGGAAACATAGTTCCCAAATCTGCTTATCATTATTTGGACTCTAACATTAATCAACCAAGCTAAAATAGGCCAATTCAACTGACCAAAAGTTATATCAGCTTAAAACAACTAGGATGGTGGAGATCCAGCTACAAGACCCATAAGCATGTATCACTCGGCATGGGGTTTTTCAGCTAAATGAGAAGGAGTGCATCTCCCATATCCACCTATAACTACCTACACCTTCACACAAGCCATCCAATCAGACACCAAGAAGATATGGTCACCAGCAGCTTGATCAAGAAATGAGAACATGAGAAGAGGGGCACACTGTCATTGTCCCTAACAATGAGCAACAACAAAAGGAGGAGATACTTATTTTGCATACTTCCATTCTCCTGTTGTCCAAATTTGAAGTATTTCCTACTTATTATGGGATTTTAAAACTCTTAAGTATTTTTATTTTTAATTTGTTTTCCTCCAACCCAACGAGCACAATCAAATCCCATTCCAAATTACAAACCTCCGTGTAGAAATAAGCCAATATCCTCAAATTGACTGTGATTGAATGAGCCTTGATGGAGACATGAAAGGGAGCAAAGCTAGTGATGCATGGGGAAAACAAAATAATTAAAAAAATTCAGGCAAAGCAAATTATCAGCAAATAAACCAGTCCAATTAATGTAGGAACTAAATAGCAGCAGTGAGATATTTTACCTAACAAAAGGCCTCATTTAGACAAAGAATAATCCTGATAGGCCAAATCCCAGTGTAAACAGGCATCAAAGATGTAATAGGAGTCCACCCACGATACATCAGCCAACAATAATAGAAAGAAGAAATAGAATTTCATTCATTGTCATCAAACAAGGTAGATATTCAAAATGGATAAACTCTTAGAAAGATTATTGATGATGTAGCATGTCAATCATTAAATGAAGAATAGCACATCTACTACCATTTAGTTAAGTTGTAAATTAAATGAATCAAATTAGACACATTGATTGACTGAAAAACAGAGGGCACAGCTTGAAATCAGAATGTTCTCCAGAAAATTGAACTCAACATCCAAAGGTCACCTGCGACCACGATGTCCATGAGTCGGGAGATGATGGGATCACCTACAAAGATACAAAATATCTTCCCATAGGCAGGATGATGTATTCACTAATTACGATTTATCACGGAATTCTGCATGGGTCTACGAGATCAAGCAAGGAATTACTGGATGGACCACCAACGTTCCTACGACCGATCCGGAATGGCAGGATCTTGAAAAACTAGGGTATGAATGATTTTATGCAAACAAATAACAAGAGCATCACAGTATATAAATCGTCAGTAATCTAACAAAAAAGAAAATTTTGGGGCAAACAAATATCAAAGAGCCAGAGCATCCATGATCAAAGAAATCAAGAAAATCTAACACGAAACAAACATCAAACAAACACAAACAAAGGAAAGCAGCCACAAGAAAAAAGGGAACAAGATTCTGCCGATTGATCTTACGCGTAACCAGACAGATCTACACAAATCTGCCTCGATCCAGATCTGCGCAAATCGAGAGACAAGAGTTAATTCAATACCTCCCAACTGCCACCAGATCCCGCGTCGTGTTACCCTCAGCCGGATGCTCTCTCTCTCTCTCTCAGATTTATCAGGTAAACAGATCAGGTGACATAACCAGGGCAAAAGATCTCGTGAGATCGAGGAAGACGAGTACGCGCACCGAGTCGTCGTCCTTCGTAAGAAGAACCGGGTTCGGGTTCGGGTTCGGGTTCGGGTTTCGAACGTCAATCCATAACTGAACCTAACTCCAAGATTAAATTTACAGAAACGTCGTTCAACTTTTATTAATAAATGGAAGATTGAGAATATATGTTTGGGATTTATTATGTTTCTTAGTTTGTTCTATAAAATAAATAATCAATAACGAATAGTCATCAACAATAATAATAAAATTGCAAGTTTTAATTATTTGGAATTGAATACATTGATCTTTTGTCATCAAAAGTCGTATATTTTATTAAGTCTCAAATATTTAAATTTTTATTTATATTTTTTATTAATTTTTTTTGTCATATTTCTCTTTCTTTTCTCTTACTATTAATATTTTTGAAGATGTCAACTACATGTTATAAGATCAAATCTTATCTTTATCATTTACTTGTTATAAAAAAAATTTACAAATTATGATATAACCAATTTAACATAATATACTTCTAATTAGATATATGTATAGTTATATATATATATATATATATATATATATATATATATATATATATATATATATATATATGTATATATTTATATGAATATATATATATATATATATATATATTCATATAAATATATACATATAAATATATATATACATATATACATGTATATATATACATATATACATATATATATATACATATATATATATACATATACATATATACATATATATATGTATATATGTATATATATACATATATACATATATGTGTATATATATATATAC